TATTTGTATGTTGTGCTCTTTGGTCCTTGTGTTTCAAGGCACAAACTCTGAGTAAAGTTTTACTTGGATGAAAAGAATAAATAGCTTCTAATTTATGCTTTGGGAACTTTTTGTTAAGCAGTTTAAGAACTCAGGGTTGCTTTAATATGAAATGAAAGAGAAGCCTTAAATATGTTAGGGTCTTCTTGAAGGCGAAGAAATACAATGTATTCATGCTAATCTTTAATGTAGAAAAGGGTAGGTTCTAATTTTGATATTATTTATTAATCAAGCAAATATAATCCGCATAAGATAATAGAATGAACTGAAAATTCCGGTTTCAGGTTGAATACTTTGAATGGACTAATTAGCTTGTTTTTATGCATCTATCAGTCATGAAATGTGTCGTGTTTGCAAGAAACTGTCATTGTAAACACACACCTACATTTTTCTTCCTTCCTGCAAAGCATTAGTTGTATTGGAAAATACAACCAGTAACCTCAACTAACCTAGACCCTCCAGGATGCTTCTAAAAGTAGATTTAAGACAGAATGATGCATTTCTGTTCCTTGAATGTCAGCTTCGTGGGAGAGTGCATCTGGGGGGGAGGGGGGGGGGCATGGTACTATTACAGTGGTTTGTCTAATCCCATGTGTACACTTGTGTTTAATTGCATGATATCATTACCAGATTCAAGTGTGTTTGCGTGTGCATATATGGAAATGGTGGAAAGGCAAGTGGAATATACAGTCGCGCCGTCTTTTCTGTGGCATTTTGCATTTGGCAGCTGAGCAGTGTTGAGCCTCGGTACTTAAACTTTGAATAATATATAAACAGAAGTATTTGCAGAGGAGTGTGTACGTACAGGTTGGTGTCACTGCTAGAAAGACACTGTTGATGGAGGTCAGGGGGTGTCATTGTGAGTGTGCATGTGAGATTGGTCGGAGAGATCAAAGTAAAGAGTTCAAGATGTGCATCGTTTGGATTTCAAAGGGATTGCATGAGCGTCTTCGGTGTCCAGCATGCTCATACATGACTTTATGCCTCTGGCATGATATACATTACGGCACGGGCATGAGTCACAATGGGTTTGGGTGTCTGCATTTTAGCATGTGTTTGCATGCGTGTGTCTTTGACTGTGTGCATTCCAGCTCGAAGTTCAGTAGTCTGTGTGGTGCCCTGCAGTGCCCCTTGCTAATCCATTCCCAAAATGGCTGTTGCCAGGCAGAGAAATTACCCAGCAGGGTGCTAATGGGACTAAATAGGAAACTCAGCTCTGTAGGTTTTATTGAACTCATAGCTTATATGTCAGGTGTAATTTTATTTTCTTAATATGCCCAATTAGCTGTTGAAACCATTATAAGCACCACACAGTTGATTCCTGTCCTCGGTTTAAGGTGTATGGATGTCAGCAAGGCTCAAACAAACATGCTCATAGGAACATAGAACAACTGCACCGTCACATCGGTGATGCCATTTTGCCCCGGTTGAACTCAAAGGTGAAAAGGAAATCATCTATCTAAGAGAAAGGTATGAAGGAAATGTCAGCTGTCAGGAGCTAACCTTGGTCGCAGTACTGCTAGAAGGTAGGTTGACACCATACAGTAAGTGGCAGCAACAAATGACTTTGAGTCCACGCTTTCCAAATGTCCAGGAATGGAGAAACAACATCATGTAAGATTTTACAACTCAACTTAAATTGTATAGCTTAAAGGATACAGCATAAATCCAGTATATACTTCCTATGCAGCACAGTTTTACTCTAGCTGAGCACTTAAAGCACAATAGATTTGTCCAGAATGGTCCAAAATGCAGATCATATACCAAACTGTAGGCAGTTACTTTAAAGACAATCAGCCAAACTGATAATATGTTACGTCCATGGGAGCTGTGTGGGTGCAGCCGCTTCTGGCATTCACAATTCCCCTAAACTGAGCTTAAGTCATTAAAATTTCTTGCACATGCACAGTGTAACATGAGATACAATGCTATATTAGTAGCAACTAACTGGCTGAATGACAAACTCAGCAGTGTTCTATAATATGAAGAAAAATGTGCCTCTGTATGTTGAATATATGGTGACCTGTAGTTTTAGAGTTTAGCCTAAAAAACAAAAGGAGGAGGTTGGTTTCCTTTTAACTGGAAATTCAGCCTCTTTCCCCATGTGTTTGCCTGAAGTTTGATAATGACTTTGTTTATTTGTGTGTGTGTGTGTGTGTGTGTGTGTGTGTGTGTGTGTGTGGTGCGTGTGTGAGGACAGCTGCTTTGTGTCGATCAAAAGCAGCAGCAGCAGATTCCCTGCAGTGTCCTCTGGAGTTGAGCTCACTTTAGCACACGTACATGCTTGTACGCACTCTTTTTCTTACTTTGTTAGTTCCCAATTTTCAGGTCTGTTGTGCTACTAAAACATTTGTTACCTATAAGAAAGAGTAAGTGTTACAGGAGAACAACAGACTTGATGTTGCCCCATGTGATCGCCACATAATGGATTACCTTGACTTTTTTCTTGTGTCTAAAAGAGCTTCTAGGGCTTATGGACCATTGTTTAGTCTGGGATTCATTGTTTTGGTCTTTCTCAAAAGCTGTTATAGACGGGGGTTATTCATTATTACAGCGACTTATATTTAAAAGTCTTAAAACAGTTGGTCGCTTTACAAAAGTGTCTTGGACTGCCAGATATTTTACAGGAGAGGAGAATACCAGGAAAAAAGTATCCAACAAAATAAAAGGAAATCCTTGAATCCATCCATGAAAATGAGGCCACATCTTTGGTGATTTAATCAAATGTCTTGTTATGGCTTACGAAACGTTCAAAACCACAACATATTTAAGGCTTTTTATGACTAATAAAAAGATCAAATACTCATATCGGAGAAAAACAAAACACTTTGATAATTGCTTATCAAAATAATGTACTTTCTTTTTGACTCCTTGAATCAGTTGCACCTCTAAACAGTTTATAGATGTAATTCTGTAGTTTTTATTTCTTCTGTTTTGGGGTTATTTGCAGCTGCTTGGCCCACTGGCATTTCTGTTGCTTTGATACTCAGTATTGGAGCATTCATGCAGTGTTTACTAGCAGCGAAACTTCTCTGCCCATGAATGTTTATTACTAATGGGAAACAGAAAAAAAAATCAAGCTCTAATTAACTCAAATTCAACCCCTTTTAAAATGCAGAATAAATATTAAAAGGCACGAGTGCTATGCATGACATGGGTCAAACATGGCGTTCATTGTGGAAAAACTACCCTTTTAAAGTAGTAGACTTAATGTCTGTTCGGTGGACATGCACAGTCTCTAGATGCCAGTAAAGGAAGGTCTTTTATGAGAAATGTTAGATAAGAAGAGGGAAAGAAATGGGAGAGGCGATTAGCCCAAATATGCTTAATGTCAGTTTTATATTTTTTCCTTCCAACATGTTGTTTAAAGTTTAGGCTTTTGGTAATTATGCTCACTCGCGTGCGTGTGCGCGTTTGTGTGTAACCCTCCTTCTTTGTGTTTCTCACTCTTGACTCTGACTCTCTCAACGTGCAGGCTGATATGTCTCCTTTCCCTGGGGATGGTCCAGATCTGACAACAGCTAGGCCTACACCCCATGCAGGAAACCCATCCCACTGAGATATAATATGCACGGTTGTGCATGTGGATATTATGCCACACCAGTGCCAGTCAGTGTCTAGTATTTGTATAGACGTTAGCTTTTCTGCAATCTTGCTCCTTTTGCTTTTTTTTATCAAGCAGTTGATGATCATACACTTGAGGAATATGTCCTCATTAAACTTGTATTGTGTTCATTCCCCACTCTAAAACCAGTATTGATTTTTTTGCCCCATTGTGATATCCATCCTCAGCATGAGCGCCCGCTTACAGTGCCACAAAATCTTTTTCTTAATAGCGTTTCTCTGAAATCTGTGCCAGCAGAGCCCCTGTGCAGGTTCAAACAAGGACAAGGAACAAGCGATATTTTTTTGATAATTGTTTCCTTTAAGTCAGATGGATTTTTTTCTGAGAAGAGCATGAAATAAAGGTCAAAATGTTCACCCAGTAAAGCTTGACAGCTGCCTCCAGCCTTCTCCTCTCCATCTTCCTTGTTATTCGCCTTTTTCTATGTACCACATATCTGTCTGTCTCACTCTGTCAAGGTCTTTTTCCTCCCTTTCTTCCTATCTGTTTTGTGCCTCAATCGCAGTTCTCTCAGTTAATTATTTCTTTTGAAGCTTTGATTTTTTTCTTGTCACTGAAGAGAAATTGCTTCTAAGAATGACTATGGTGAAGAAGCTCATGATAGTGACCTCTAATTCAAATGTTACGCAATACACTGCAACTACACCGGATTACATACATTTTTGTTTCATCTTGCGTATTCTATTAGCGCGTACAAGGGTATTCAAGGTTGTTAAAGATGATCATATAGTACTCATTATGTATGTTCAACTTCCTGAAAACAAAACCTTTAAATGGAGGTTACTTTTATATAAATAAAAGCCAACGTAATGTATGTATAGTGCTTAAAAAAATGTAAGTTTAATGCCACTGTTGCCCTTAATTACCAGTGCTGGTACTTCTTATAGTTCATGTTGTTACATATGCATTTTTAAATGTAGTGTTTAACAAAAAGCTGAAAAAATATACTAAAGCACATTATTATTTTTTGAGTTTGATTATAGTTGATTAAAATTATAGTTATTTACTCAGATCCCTGAACATAAAAAATAGTTTTAGTAGTTGAATGTTATGATTTGGGTATAAAATGTATTTATTTATTTTTGCCAAATAAATAATATTTTAATTTTTAGATTTCAACAATTTTTGCCAGATTTCTAAAATGCTTGTTTTTTTGTTTTCAATGAGAGTTGGTCTAATAAATTTGGTAAGCACTGTATGTGAAAAAGCCAAGCCTGTTTAGAATTGCTTGTGTATATTGATTATATGGACATGTATAAGGTCTCTTTCCTACAAACAGGTGTTTCCATTTTTAGTTCTTTGCAAATAACCATTTTGGTAATGGCTTCCTTTACAGGTTAACAACTATGTGGAGGAAAGAGAGGAGATCAACCTGATTCATCCTGCCAAAAAGCTCCTGTTGTTGTGCCCTGGATGTGTCTGTCTCAGGGAGTCTCTCTGGCCAGTGGACTTGGTCAGCAGCAGCCCAGCCAGCCTTGATCTGAAGCCCTACATTAAAACTCAGCACTGTCATTCATCTTACACCTCCAGGTTTGGATATTCATGTTTTCTTTTGTCTGAAATGTCCTGTTTAAACCAAAATTTGTTCTAAGGGAAGTGACTGAGTGCACAAAATGATACAATTTACAAAATGAAGAGAATTTAGGTGTGAAATTATACTGCATGCGAGACGTATGGACATAATTGGGGGCAAAATCTTGTGCTGTAGAGAATATTCCATTACTTTCTAGTTCTTAATTGGTCAAACCATTAACTAGTAAGAGTTTTGCTAACAGATTAACTGACAGTGGTGCTGCTTGTCAGCTGCATGCATCCCCAAAATGCTACATATTTTACCTTCAGTTATGTAATCTGAATGCTCTGGAAGTTACAGACTGGATATATCATGAGATATTTAGATTAAAGTTGCAAACAAACTTTATTTCTAGGTTTTATCGGTCTTGTAGCCAGAAGACGAAGTTGGGTTCCCTGCTAACTGGAGCACTGCTAGAGGCCACACTCGTGCTTGGTGCTCGCACGGCACTCCTTTACCCGTTGCCCCAGTGCCCCAACAGCCACGCTGTCTTGAAAGGTAGGCTTCATGCTGTTGTTTGCATGCACGTAATCTTGGGAAAATAACTTAATGTGATATAGAGTATGTGTATCTTAAATACACAGACAGATGACACATTATAAGGAAAAAAATTAATAAATTATGCTGTGGAGGACATTTTTGCTGGCATGGTTTGATCCCACTTATTCTACTTGTTCTGAGTGAAACATGTTCTCTGCTATAATGCCCGCATCACAGGGCATGAGACGACATAGAAAGGTTTGAGAAGTATGAAGTGACCTAAATGCTATCCTATTTGCAATCATCATCTCGATGTGAACAAAGAACTGTGGAATATTTTGGACTGACAGCGCTGTCCACCATCACAAAACACAGAACACAGAATGAGGCAGCATCCTTTGGAAGAGACTCCTGAGACTTGGAGGATCTATTCCAGTGCACACTGAAGCTGTTCTGGCAGAATGTGATGGTCTAACACCTTACTAAGACACTTTCTGTTAAGATTTCCATTAATTTGACACCTGTCTCAACATTATAGGATAATTGGCTCTTATTTCTGCTCATAAGATAATAAACAGAGGTGCACAAATTGGATCCCAAGTGAAGCGGGAACTTCTGGGATTCTCATTATTCCCCTGCGGTCTATTGCTCCCCTCGTTTTCCTCCTCTCTGCACTTTTCCCACATGATTCCTTATCCACAGCGTGATCTGGGTATGTTGGGGTCTGTAGCTGATCCCAGTGGTTGGCCTTTCCCTCTTTCCATTCTCTTTTATTTGCCTTGCTGTGTTCTCTCCATTCACATAGCCCTCACCGTCTCCCCCTTTCCCTTCTATTCTCTAATTTAGATACACTCGTGCTCACGTGGTTTAAGAAGGAAGGAAAAACTTCCAGACATTACAGAGTCTACACAACACTCATTACACACACATGAGGTTATCTGAAAAGAGGCGATATGCACTTCAAACATGCTTGCGCCGCTCCCCAGAAAAGCTTCGGAATCACAGCATGATAGACTTACATTCCAGCTTTTTATGCAGCAGAGGATCATCAAGCTCTGCCACTTAAATGCTTTGAGGAGTAAATTAAAATGTCAGTTGTGAGAAGATAAGACAATAAGCTAAATTCTATCATGCATATTGCATTTCACCTCTTTTTCTCACTCTCACTGCCCTTTTCCCTCAGTCTCCACATGACTTCATTGTCCAACCAGTCAGGTTGTCGGTCCGTTGTTCAGCTGTCTGTCTACCTTCTCTGTAGAGATGTTACGTATGACTTAAATGTAAGCCAATACTGTCATTAATTTCCACTGGCAGTGAGACAGCGGACAGGCTGTCTCTGACAGGATCAAGGAGACACACACACTCAGATGCACACACAAGTATGCAAACACATTTTTCTGTTTCTTTCTTTTTGATTTGCTCTCGGTCGTGTTAATAATTATAAAGCATTTGTTTTTGTCAGGCCAGCTTTTTTGAGGCAACACACAATCGCACACAGACGCACGCTTACACAGTGCATATCTTTAACGTGACACACTGTTCTGTTCTAATGGGTGTTACAGGAAACAGAATTGAGCCAGACACGCGCACACATAGCAGCTTAGAAGTCTTGCTCATGCATAGCATGAACCCCCGCCCGTCAAAACTTGTAGAATTTGTTATCAAGCAACAAAGTTAGTTACCCATAGCCATGTTATTGTGCTTTTAAATAGGCATGTGTTGCTATTGTGATGTAATATATTTATTGAATCTAATTTGAATGATTTTATATTTGGTTTATTTTTAGTTCAGAGACTATGATATCCCTGTAACAAACACATGCTGTAGTTTTCCTCTTTTAAAAGCTCTGAATCATTTATGAGCCTAGAAGTAAGGAGTGCTGAATTGAAAAGTCAGAAGTGGTCTTTATTACTGTAAAATTGGCCTTGGGTAAGGCATTGACTCCCCCAGCTGACATTTTGTCAGGGCACAGGTTTTAAGACGTGAAGGCTAAAGTGATTATCTGATGTCATAAAAGACATTTTATTATCCCGAGTTTGGGCAAGCTCTGCATTAAGTTTCAAACTTGGATAGTGTTGGTGTTGTTATTGCTTTCTTACCATTTTTGGTATTGTTCCTCTCTTCAGTGCTCTAACCTGATTCTGGTCTTTATGTTTTTTCAAAGCTTTACAATCAAAGTTATGTAGCTG